CCAAGCAACCTCAGAGAGGGGATGGTGAAGAGAAGGGATGAAAGGGGCTGCCTTGCTCTGTGTGGGACTGGGGAGACCCTACAAAGCCCTTTTCTCCTGCAGAGCCTCAAGCTCATGTGCTGGATGCACATTGGCAGCAGGTGGAACCCCTGCTGGGTTCTCCTGGGACACCTTCCACTATCCCAGGTTGCTCCAAGCCCCATCCAACCTGGCCTTGGACACTTCCAGGGATGGGGCATCCTCTAAGAAATGCATTCCAGGGCCTCCCCACCCTTCCAGGGAAGGATTCCTTCCCAACATCCCATCTAACCCTGCCCTCTGGCAGTGGGAAGCCATTCCCTGTGTCCTGTCCCTCCATCCCTTGTCCCCAGTCCCTCTCCAGCTCTCCTGGAGCCCCTTTAGGCCCTGGAAGGGGCTCCAAGGTCTCTCTGGAGCCTTCCCTTCTCCAGGAGAACCCCCCCAGCTCTCCCAGTCTCCAAAGCAAAGCTTCTGCAGCCCTCAGAGCATCTCCAAGGCCTCTCTGGACTCACTCCCAGCAGCTCCACATCCTGCTGTTGGACCCCAGAGCCAGAGGCAGGATTTTGACTTTTCTCGGCAAACAGCAGTGGGATCCCCCGTTAATGACCCCGGCTGGGATGGGAAGGGGCCCCACCGGGTGCTGACGTGTCTGAGTCCCAGGGAGGGGGCCGGGGGGGGGGGGTTATGCACGTTTTTCCTGCTCGGAGCCCACTGTTATCAGGAAAATCCAATTAGTCCCGCTGGATGCAAACAGGACAAGGTGACCCTGCGGCCGCCGAGCCCTCTCAGCGGGGTTTGCCCGGAGACACGGGACCATTAACCAGCCTCAAAGCTCCCCCGAGCTCCCGGTACCGCAGCGATCGTGGCTCCAGGGACCCGCCCGGCATTCCCGGCGTGCCGAGGGAGCAGGAGGGATGCGGGGGGGAAGGACACGGGAGATGTGGGGTATGGATGTGGTCGGCATCCGCCGGGGCTGCTTTTGTTTCAGCAGCACATCCCGAGCAACTCCACCTGCTCCAGACCCCCAAATCTGGTGGCAGCTGCAGGAGATTTCTCTGTGGGCAGCATGGAAAAGTCTGTGGATCTTTATTTTTTGGCTTTTGGATCTTTATTTTTAGTTTCCTGTTGAATTTCCTGCGGGAATTGCCACTTTTTAGGAAGGGTGCTGTGGGCAGAGCCCCTCCATCCCCTCCCCACTGGGATGTTATGGGGGTCAGTGGGTTCCCGTGATCTCCTTGTGGAATGTAGTGGGAATTTATAATGATTTTTCAGGACGGGAACCGTCTGGAATTGTCCAGGTGGTTTGTGCAGGAGTGGGAAGGGGCTGGGGCTGGGCTATGGTCGCCAAAAAGGCAACAAAGCTCATCCCAATTTGGTCTCAGGCAGGAGTTTAAGATGGATTTAAAAGAGGAAAACCATGGGAATGAATTTTAGGAACCACCTGGAGAACAGAGACTCACTCCAAGCCTCCCCCCCCAAAAAAAAAAAATGTGTATATAAAGCTCCCAAAGTCCAGTATTAATTCTGGCACAGCCAAGCAGTTTCCAAAGGTTGCTCTTGGATCAAATTTACCCCCTGACTTCCAAGAGTAATTAGAGTAGGACAGAGAATCGAATGTTAATAAAATAGAACACAACAGAGTAGAATAATAGAATTAGAAGAACTATAGAATGGAGTAGCATTAGAGAAGGGAATAATTAGAAGAAAATAGAATAGCATAGAATAGAGAGGAGAATTAGAACATAAGATAGTTAGAACAGATTAGAATAAGAGAATGAGAAGAGAATTATAGACTAGACTAAAATACCATTAGAGAAGAATAGAGAATTAGAATTTAATTAGAATAGAACAGAATTGATTAATAACAATAGAAATAGAAGAATTATAGAACAGAACAGAATAGAACAGGAATAGGAATAGGAATAGGAATAGGAATAGGAATAGGAATAGGAATAGGAATAGGAATAGGAATAGGAATAGAATATTCCCCTGCTGTTTGGAAACCCTCCATGCAATTATTTTAGGTGTAGAATATTCAGACCTGGGAGCATCACCAAGATGTTGCAGATTTCTGATACCTCTGCCATGTCCTGATCAGGTCCCAGCTATGTCCTGACCAGATCCAAACACTGTTCTGGTCAGATCTAAACCCTGTCCTGACCAGATCCAAACCCTGTCCTGGTCAGATCCAAACCCTGTCCTGACCAGATCCAAACCCTGTCCTGGTCAGATCCAAACCCTGTCCTGATCAGATCCAAACCCTGTCCTGGTCAGATCCAACCCCTGTCCTGATCAGATCCAAACCCTGTCCTGGTCAGATCCCAGCTGTGTCCTCTCCCTGTCCCATTCCACTCTGGCATGTCCAGCCAGGCACGTTTCACCTTGGAGCCAGAACATCAAACACACGTGCTGGGGGATGAAAGGGGCCCTTGGCACCATTCCATGGGGGAAAAGCAGCTCCTGGGAATCAAACAGCCCCTGGTGCTCCTGATTTCAAGGTAGAGTTGACTTTCCTCCTTATCCCCACAGGAGGACGAAGCTTTGCTGCTTTTGCACTGGGTGAAAGTTTGCACCTCTAGGGGAAAATAAAAAGGATATTTTCTAAGTTTTTCTCCCCTAAATGCAATTTGAAAGCAGTTTAAAAGTGTTTATTTTTCTGCTTAACTGCAGGGAAAACCCTGCAGGGATGCAGGAAAGGGACCTTATCCATAATCTTTATTATGGACAACCCCTGACTCCCTCAATTTACAATTTAAATCAAGCAGAGCCTGGTCTTTCAATGAGAATGTTCCTCTGTTTATGCCAGAATCCAGTGACTTCCCAGAAAACTGTCACCTCCTGTGGTTTAAAGCCACCAGGAATTTGATAATTCCCACCAGGCAGTGCTGCCCTGGAGTCTGGGAGGTCCCCCCAGAATGGGAACTGAGGATGGTGAGGAGCTGTTAAGTTGTTTTATTTCTTGTTGTTGTTGTTGGTTTTGTTTCTGCTGGGAGAAATAACTTTGCAATATTTCCCACTGGGACTTGTCTAGAAATTAAACGAAAATGCCAAACTCAGAGCCCCTTCTGCACATTTTCAAGCTGGTGGGTGGCCAGAGGCAGTTCACAGAGAAAGCAGGTTAAGGAAACAAGCCCAAACCATGAAACTATATATATTTTTAACAGTTTTATGAATTATTATGGGGTTTTTCTTGACTTTTCCCCCCAATATTGCTCTGAGATCCATTTCTAGAGGTTTTTTTTGTGGTGTTCACAGTGCCAGGTGATGGTACCACAAACTCACCCACCTGGGCAGATGCTGCAGGACTTTTCTCTTGTAAATGAAAAGCAAAAATTCTGATTTGTAAAACAAAAAACCCCACCCTAAAATAGAATCAACCTGATCATCACAGTGGTTTATTTTCACCAAATTTATGATTTTTGGGGGGAAGAACAAGTGTAGAGAAGCTTTTGCCTGGCCTCAAACACCAAATCCCAACGCAGTGCCTGCCACAGCCACACTGGGGTCCTTTGGGGGCTGGGGAATTAGAAATAGGTGTTGGTATAGCACCAAAACCCATCCAAACCCCTCAAAACCCCACTAAAACCCACCAAGCCCCAGCAAACCCCAACAAATTCCATGATAATCCCACCAAAACCCCACAAAAATGCCCACTAATCCCCACCAAACCCCACCTAACCCCCAGCAAACCCCACCAAAACCCCATCAAATCCCAGCAAGCCCCACCAAACCCAGGCCTCACCAGGGTGAAGCCCCAGCACCAAACTCCAAACGTTCTCCAAGGTCATTTCTGCACAGGGAGAACCCAAACCCGAAATTAAGTTTTGTGTTTAAGCCCTGCTTCTGCCTGAAAGGATCCCAATAATTTTGAGATGGTTTTTGCTGTAAATGCTGACTGTTATTCTTTAATATTTGTCTTTATTGTGCCCAGGGGTTGCTCTTGGAAGCAGGAGAGAAACTCAAGCGACACACGAGTTTTGCACAACATATTTCAGAGCAGAACTGAAAACACGTGTCCAAAATCACTTTTAGCACTTTAATGACCTTTAATGTCCCATTCTCCTCTCAAATTCACCTGACAGAAAGAGAACCCCCAAAACCTCGTGCAGTGCCTGAACCTCAGGGAGATGCTGAGGCTGGAAAACATCTCCCTACATCCCAGACCCACATCTGGCACAACACGGCTCCAACCAGCTCTGCTTCAGCCTCTTCCTGCCTGAACTTCGGGAAAAGCCATTCCTTAATTCCCCACAGCTACTTGGTGTGGATTTGATTTAATTGTGGGTCAGATTAGATCATCCTGATAAGCCACAGTTGGGCAGTGTCACGGTGGGAATCATCATTACAGAACTGATTTATCCAGTGGGAATTGCAGGGATAAAGCAGCTCTGAGGATGATGCAGAGGATTTTGGATTTGGGACAGTTTGGGCACAAGCTGCAGTTTTTGGGTGTTGACCAAAATGCTCCACCTCCCCACAAAGTGAAGTTTCTGCCCATTTGATTTTTGTTTTTCCTTGTACACAACTGAAAAACATAAAATAGGTTAAACTACGTCTCCCCCAGACCTGCAGATGCTCTGGAACATGAGATGATGCTGCTCAGCTTCACATCCCAAAATTTATCATGTGCCAGGATTAAAAAACATGGGAGGAAGCTCTTGGTTGCTTGGTATCTACTTTCACTCCTCAAATTTCCTCATCCTTGACTTTTCCTGGATAAAACAAAGCAGGGAGGTGGGAACTCCCTGGAAGCATCCAGGACATGGAGCCAACAGCTTGGGGAAAAGGGATTTGTGAGGCCACAGACATTTGCCAGGCACTGTCCCTCAATCCAGGGACATCCAGAGGATGCTGGAGCTGGATCCTGCTCTGGGCTGGGGCAGAGCTTTGCTGGGACAGAGTTTTGCTGGGACAGAGTTTTGCTGGGGCAGAGTTTTGCTGGGACAGAGCTTTGTTGAGCCACGTGTTGGAGCAGCTTGGCCTCGATTTCCCCACAGAACAGCTCAAAAAGACACCGTCCACCCCAGAAAAGCACTTTGAGGCTGCCTGGTGCTCTGTGGGCACCTGACAGCCACGGGAAAGGGCAAGACATGGGTGCTGTGGGCTCATGGGTGGGTTTTTAGGGAGAATCCCCCTAAAAATCAATGGTTTTGAAGTGGCTGGAGCAGCGGAAGCGGCTGCCGAGGAACCTGGAGCACAGGAGATTGGGCAGGCAGGGGCAGGTGTGGTGCTGGCGCTTCCCAAAGAAAGGGACCTGCAGAGAACAGTGAGAGAAACGAGGTGTCATGGCCCCAAGAATGATCAATGGCACCATTGCACTGAGAAAATCCGTGGATTTTCTCAAAGGTTTAACGGGAATGTGCCTGAAATTAGTTTGTGATCCCTCTGAACCTTCCTTTGCAAGCAGAAGGTGCAGAGTCATTAAATCTTGCTCCCAGAGCATTAAATCAATACAGCACAGGGAGGGGGATGCTCTTCCTGAGGCTGGGACGCTGCTGCTAAATCCTCCTGGAACTGGGACTGCAGCAGCACCAAGCTTTGGGCTAATCCCAGTGTGCTGGGGGCTCTTATCCAACAGAAATCAGGGAGCTGGGGAAGCTCTGAGGATTTAACTTGGCTTCTTCTGGCTCAGCAGAGCATTCATGGCTCAATTTGGAGTGGTTTGTGCTTTACTTGCAAAGGAATGGGCTGGTGGCTCAACCCCAGCTCCCAGTCAAGATCCACAGCATTCCTGAGGGATCAAGCCCAGGTTGGATGGAGCTCTGAGCAGCCTGCTCTAGTGGAAGGTGTGGAGTGGAGTGGAACAAGATGATCTTTAAGGTCCATTCCACCCCAAATCACTCCATGATTCCCTGATTTAGGGTGCTGTGAACATGCAGCAGACTGCCCAAGATAATGTAGAGGCTGAAACAGGTCCCCAGCTCTGAGACCCCACAATGCCACCCAGAGCCTTACCCCAAATTCCCCCCTCAGTCCCCCACCTGCATCCCAGAGTTCAAGGAATTGGGAGGAAGAGATGGAGATGGACAGGTCTGGCACTGGGTTCCCTTGTCCAGTTCCCACCCCCATCACAGCTGCCTCCTCACCTCCCTCAGCACTTTTTCCTTGGAATATCACGATCCAGAAGCACGAGAACATCACTGTAGCAGTGCTGGCACCCGGGGCCTCAGGAATCAGCTCCATTCCCAGCTCCTCCTCCCCGGAAAACCACTCTCCCACCCCCCCTCCCCGACACCGACCCCTTCTCCATCCCACGGTCTAACGGAGCTTTCCCCCCATGTGAGGAGCTTGGAGCCCCTTCCTGGTCTTTGTCCCCTCTTCCCAGCCTGTACCTTGTGACTGAAGGGGTGACACTCGTCCCCCTCCTGGCCCAGGGGGGTGCAGACCCGCAGCCCCCTCAGCCACAGGCTCGTGGCACAGCAGGTCCCGCGGCCACACTGAGGGTCCCGCTCGCAGGCCTGGGGAGGAGGAGGATGGAAAAGCACCGTTATCCCTCTTTTTGGGGGGTCAGTGGTGGAATCAGCCCACGCTGGGGTTGGGGATTTAACCAAAAGGGGGTGGCAGTTCCCAGTTCTGCCGGTTTGGGTTGAGCTGGGGAGGTTTCGGGGCAGGGCGTGGGTGGGATCGGGGTGCTGAGGTTTGTGGGATGAAGGGGAAATCCCTCATGGGCACGGTGGTGGGAGGCACAGAGGGAAAGTTTTCAGCTGCCTGACTTAAAGCAGCATTGGTGCCAAGGGAGAGCAGCAGCATCAAGGGATAAACCCACTGTCCAGATCCTCCCGCTGGGAATGTCGCCCGGCTGAGCCTGGAAAACTGTTCAGTAACCCAATTTCCCAGAGCTTTAATTTTATTGTTAGTGGGAGCAGAGTAATTCCAACAACTCAACCTCTCCCCTCCAAGGAATACACAAAACTTTGGAAGACAGGGATGGGGAAACTGAGGCACAGATGGAAACACTGCCTCAGCTCTCCACCACACCTGGAAGTCCACGGTGCCAGGAGGAGGTGGATGGGGACATTCTGAGCCCCAAGCAGGTCCCATTTTTCCCCTCAGGGTGTGGTGGCCATCACTGGAGAGGCTCATTGCATTCCCAAAACCTTCTCTGACCCATCTGCCTGATGGTGGGTTGGCAGCACGAGGAGAACTGATGGGATTCATCCAACACCCCCCCTGGGGTCCTCCCCTCCCAGGGGATTTCTTTCCCAGGGGTTCCCAGCACAAGCCCATTGTGGTTGAGGAGATGTGGCAATGGCAGCTGGGGCAAAACCACAAAAAAACCCCACCAAAAAGCAAAGTTTTGGGGTGCAGCCCTCTCATGGTTGGGCAGAAAGGGGATTTTACAGAGTATTCCCTTTCTTGGTGGGAACCTGATTCTCCCTGAGCTTCCAAAGCTCCTTAAAAACCCCAAATTCTGTTAAAAATCAGATCTCAATAACCCTCAGCTGCAAACTCAGGGGGCTGGTGGGGGCTGCAGGCATCCAGGGAGCTGCACATCCAAACTCTTTCCTTGTGGTATTAAAAATATGTGGCCCTGGAATAATTTCAAGCCCTGGGATAAGTCCTGGAATAATTCCAGGAGCTGCTGGGTCTGTTTGGCCCTGGATGCAGGTGGATCCCCCTGACCTGGCTCTGAAGCTCCAGGTTGGAGAGATCAAAATCACCATGAGCTGCAAAGAAAGAGGTCTGGCTATGAAGGGATAGAGGAGCCAAGAGCCAGTTGAGGTCAACTCCCAAATTCCTGTTGGCTGGGAAAAGCCAGGAAAGCATCATTATCCCTCTTTTTGAGGAGTCAGTGGAGAAATCAGTGGCATGGAAATGCTTGGCTTTTTCAAGGAAAAATCTAGAGGAAAAAGAGGGGTTCAGCCAAGCCTGGCTTTGCTGAGACCAGCATCCAGACTCTGGAAGTACCACAAAAACCTGGATTCTGTCCCTAAAATTCACTTTTAGCACCACCCTTAATCCAGTGCTTGCTCAGGGACACTCTGAGTCCATGGAAAGGGTGAGCAACCACTGGGCCTTGGCATCCTGACAGCTCTCACCTCTTAATAATTCCTCTAAATTTAGGAGGAAAAAGGACAATTTGGAGTGTTTGAACCCTTGTTCCAATTGGTAACATGCTCTGGGAGATGTCCATAAAGATATATTGATTTTTACCTGCTGGAAAACTTCCCAAAATCCCCCATTTCCCTGCTGACACGGGGCTGGGAGGAGAAGCTGGTGGAGGGAACAGCACCCCCAGGTCAGAAAAATGAGAGAAAAAATGGAGGGGGGGAAAAACAACAACACAAACCAACCAGCACAAAGGCCTGATTCCTGTGTTATTCCCCAACATAATGAAGATGAATCAAAATAAAGCCCTGGGTGGGGTGGGAGCAGGACTTACCCCAGTGATGATGGCGCAGGGGCAGGAACTGAGGAGCAGGAGGAGGCAGAGGAGCTGCAGGATTCGGCCCATGGTGCTGGAATTCTGAGCAGCCTCACACTTCACACCCTTTATAACCCCTCCAGCTCCACCATCCAGGGCTTTTTTTCCTCCCCTGACGATCCCAGAAGAAGCAGGTAAGACCTGAATCTCCAATGGCATCAAAGAAATATTAATAAATCACCAAGAAGGGAAAAAAAGCGCCCTCTCTCCACCTCCACCCCCAGGGGGATTTATCAGCACAGCTGGATTTTCTAAGTACATCCCTAAATCCATATGTATCCTGGACAGGTGTATGGGAGAATTTAATTAAAAATTTGGGGTTATTTAGCTAAAAGAAAACCTAAGAATTAAGTTCTGCTGCTCCCCCCCCCCCCATCTTGGAAGAGCCCAAAGTGCAATAATGTGATAAATATCCCCCAGAAATAGAGACTTGGCTGCGTTTATTTGGGAGAATAAAAGAAGGCAGAAAGGGAATAATGTATTTTTCATAATTTCAATCTGAATATAATGTGCAAATATGTTGATTTATGGCTCAAAGTACAACCCATCTACCTCAAATTGCATTTGGTGCCTCTCCTGGGAGTGCAGGGGAATAAGAGGATGGCTAAAAAGGCAGGAAAAGGTGGAATTATTTGCTTATTTTTTTAATTTCTACCTCCTGTGAGGATGCAAAGGACAACATCCTAATGTGCTCAGGGCTTGGGGACTCAAATAAAACACCCCCAGGCACCACAGTCCATCAGGGGGCAAGAAATTCCTGAAGCCTCGGCCATAAAATAAGCAATAAAAAGAATTAAAATAATTAAAAAATTTAAATACCCTTCCATGGCCATCCTGGGATCCTGCACCCTGGATTTGTCTGAGACTCCCCAGACCAAGCTCCCAGTGCTGGCTGGGGCAGACATGATGCCTAAGACCCTTTTCACAATGAGGGCAGGGAATAAAATTCCTTTTTCCCCCAAAAAAAGAAACTGGATTTGTGATTCTGACCGAGCAAGATGGATTTTCTCAGCCCTGGGTTGCAGGAGCCACCTCGGTGGGATCACAGCTCCTCACCAGCATCATGAATCCCATCTCTTCTGGCTTTTCCCACTGAGGAACAAACACCCCGAGGTCGATTTTGGGGCTAGACCTCATCCCTAGGGGCAAATCAGGGACCAGGAGCTGCCCCATGTGGGAAACATGGCCCAAGGTGGGTTGGGATTTGAAATATGGATTTGATGGGGCTTTTCTGGGTAACTTTTTTTTTTCTAGAGGTTCAGTCTGGTGCTAAATCATCAGTTTAATTAGTTAAAACCAACCCCAACACTGCCCTGCCCCCAGGCCAGCCTTTGATGTGGCAGCTGCTCTGCTGCATCACTAAAGTCTCCTCCACCTGGGCTTGAATTAATTAATCCCCACTTTCCCAAAAATCTCTCCTTCCAGAAATCCCACAGGCCAACAATGGCTCAGGAATTGCTGGTTTGGGGAACTTTCCTTGCAAAGGGGCTGATGGGACAGAGAGGTTGCAGCCCCCCCATCTCCATTTGTATTTTTGTCCAGCGTTGCTTCCTAGAAGTGTGAAAAGGAAAAAAAAAAAAGCAAACAAATAAAGGCAACTCCATTCCAGCCATCCCAGTGGGGTGGGATGCAGTGGGAAGCCCCTGGACAGTTGGAATGGGGGCTCTTTGTGCTGCCTGCGGGAGCTCCCAGCTGGACCAAGGAGGAGGAAAAATCACATAAAAAATAAACGATCCTGCTGCACTTCACTCCCCCCATCAATAACATTTTAATTTCCTGACCTGCCAAGCCCAAATCCATCGGCAGGAGCAGCCGGGGGCGGCGGCAGCCGGGGCCTCATTAATGTCACCGAGCTCTGGGCTGCTCCGCCATAAATCACCTCTCACCCTCTGCTGGCAGCAGGGATGAATTTTGGGGAGGTCCTCAACGGAAAACCGGGCTGAGGATCACTTTTAACACCTCTCTGCCCCTCGGGAAGGCGATGGGGTCCTGGCTCTCCTGCCGCTGTGTTTATTGGTCTGGCACGGGCTGGACTTTGAGGGGGTTCTCGATGGAAATCTGGGCTGAGAATCACTTTTATCACCTCTCTGCCCAGTGGGAAGATGATGAGGGTCCAGCATGGCTTGTCTTACTGCAAATTTTGGGCCCCTGCTGTATCCTCATGTCCCATGTCCCTGCACCCAATCTGCATCCTGATCTGCCTCCCAACCTGCATCCCAACCTGCATCCTGATCTGCCTCCCAACCTGCATCCCAACCTGCATCCCAACCTGCATCCCCCGCCGTGGTCCAGCACCAAGAGGATGCTCTTGCCGGGGAAGAGTTGCAGGGACTCCATCAAAACCCCGCTCGAATTTCATTTGGCTGCACAAACCCTGAGCGGTGCTGCGGGAAGGGAGCGGGACACAACTAAACCAGGTTCGGGCGGGAAAAGGTCGACAAAGGAAGGGGGAAAAAACCACCCAAAATTGCATCTCTGTCACACGCTCTGAGGGGAAAAGGCACCCAGGGAGGGCTGATTTGGGGGTGCGGATTTGCTGCGAGCTCCCCCCAGATCAGGGCGCGGTGCTGGCGTGAGGGATTGTGAGGGATTGTGCGGGATCCCGGGAATATCCCGGGAATCTGCCGGGAACGGCGCGGGCGGGATTTTCTCCCGGCGGCGCCGCTGACGCTGAGCGCGGAACGGCTCCTTTTGGGCGCGCGGAGCCGCCGTCCGAGGGGTCACGTGGTGACGCAGCTGCCCGGAGCGGGGCGGAAGTGGCGGCGGGGCCATGGAGGGGACCCTGGAGCAGCACCTGGAGGAGACGTGGGGACGGGGGGACACGGGCGGGACGCGGGGGGTGACACGGGGGGTGACACGGGGGACGCGAGCAGGGCCGGAGGGGGGATGGGGGAGCGGGGCTGGGCCGGCCTGACGCCCCGGGGAGGGAGGTCCCGGCCCTGACCGCGCTGTGTTCCCCCAGCATGAAGAGCCCGGCCGTGGTGGGCGTCCTGTGCACCGACTCGCAGGGGCTCAACCTGGGCTGTGAGTGAGCGAGCGCCGCCGGAGGCCGGGGCCGGCACGGGCCCTCCGAGGGCTTGCGGGGCTGGGGGCCAGCGGGGGTGGGGGTCCCGGGTCCTGCCATCCCATCTGAGGGCTCCTGGGGTGGGGGCGCCGGGTGCTGTCCCACGGGGACCCCGGTCTGGGGGGCACCAAGACCCGCCCAGTCCCTTTAAGAGCTCCCGGGGGTGGGGGGCAGCTGGTCCTACCCCGAGAGGGCCCCCGGCTTGGGAGCCCCTGGGTCCTGCCTGTGCCTCTTAAGGGCTCTTATGGGTGCGAGGCCCCGGGTTGGGGGTCCCCAAACCCTGCCCATCCCCTGTAAGGACTCCGCGGGGGGGGACACCAGGACTGGCCCTACTGGAACCCTCCACCCCGTTCAGGGGTACCTGGCCTTGTCCTGCATGAACCCCACTTTGGGGACACCAGGCCCTGCCCTGCTGTCCTGGCCCCACCTTTGGGTGTCCCCAGGGGCCACCACCCACCTGCACCGCGGAGGAAACCAGAGCCGGCTCTTCCTGCCGCCGAAATTCAGGACATTTTGGTGGTTTGAGAGCAAGTCTGGGGAGACGCCACATCAGCCCACAGGGAGGGAAATGGGCTGAGGCAGGATCAGCCCCCCTTGGCCTGGGGGAGGCAAATGGGTTTCACACGGGGCTTTTTCCATCGTGTCCCCCCTCCAGGCCGAGGGACCCTCTCTGACGAACACGCCGGGATCATTTCCGTGCTGGCCCAGCAGGCGGCCAAGCTCAGCTCGGACCCCACGGACACCCCCGTGGTGTGCCTGGAGTCGGACACCGGGTAAGTTCCCAGCCTGCCGGGGCCACTTTTCCCCCCGTTTTCCTTTTCCCCAGCCTTGGGAGCCTCCTGGAGTCAGATCTCGGGAGCAGCTCCTGGAGGAAGCCCCAGCTCTGAAGCTGTGGAGGAGGCACTGCCACAGGCACAGGGATTCACTGGATTAACAGGATTTTAAGAGGCAGGAACTGTAAAAGCAGTGGGAAAGCTTTTGGGAGGGGGGTGGTTACTGCAGCTCTGTTCCTTTTCCACGCTCAGGATCCCTGTGGATAACTCAGGCGGTGCTGTGGGAGTCAGGGTGGCAGCAGGGGTGTCTCCAGTTCACAGAGTGGGAAGGGAGGCAGGATCTGGCTTGGAGCTGGGGCTGCTGCAGCTGCTGAATGATCCCAGGTCCAGTTCCCACCTCCACCAGCTCCTCCTCCTCAGCACTTTCTCCTTGTTTCAGGAACATCATGATCCAGAAGCACGACACCATCACTGTAGCAGTGCATAAGTTGGCATCCTGATCACTGGGAACCAGCTGCACTCCCAGCTCCTCCTCCCTGCACAACCCTGCACTCCAGCTCCAGTTTGGAACCCCAATCCTGGGATGAAGGCTCTCCCTCTCTTCTGAACAGCTCCTGTGCAGCTCTCCAGGTCTCCAACTCCCACTGTAGCACTTGTGGTGCTGAGGGTGACACGTGGTCACTCACCCAGCTGGTGCAAGGTCAGATCCTACTAGGTGTATGTGTGTTGTTGGTTGGAGAAATCAATAAATGACCTGTAAAAACACCCCTTTGCTTCTCTTTGGTCCACTGTGGGAGCTGGGCCTGGTGCTTTGTTCCCAAAGCCAAGTGAGGTAACTTCTCCCACTCCCTTCATTAGCATTTCTCTAGAGAAGAGAGTGGAATTAATGGAGGCTCCTCCAGCAGGAAAGGTACAAACACTTCCCAAGGAATTTCTGCTGGGAAACGTTTCACCTCCTTAAGTTAAACATTCTGTGGGAGAACTTCTTGCTCACTGTGCCTTGGATTAAAGCTGGATGTGCTGGCCCTGTGTGAGCTGGAAATGGATGTTGGCAACATCCTCGCAACCCCAGACCCCAGATTTGAAACAGTGCAGGGAAACAATCCTGGAAAAAGCCCTGGGAAGCTGCTACACTCCAGTGCTTCCTGTGTGGCAGGGAGAGAAAAGGAGCAGCTGGTCTCATGCAGGAGGGG